TCTCTCTCTCTATCTCTCTCTCTCTCTCTCTGTCTCTCTCTGTCTCTCTCTGTCTCTCTGTCTCTCTCTGTCGCTCTAATTCTCCCTCACTTGTTTCTCTCTCTCTCTCTCTCTCTCTCTCTCTCTCTCTCTCTCTCTCTCTCTATTTTTCCCTATCTTTACCTTAAAAACAACATTAAAGAGGAACAAGTTGACCCAGAAGTCGTACTACAAATAACAGTTTTATCTCTACGTTTTAGTCAGCTCATCTCTGTAAACTACACCTTCTCCCTTTGTTCCTCCCTCCCCTCTCTTATGTTGCCTTTCCTCTTTTCACCCCTCCCTCTTCTCCTCTCCTCTGTCCCCTTTCTTCTTCCTTCCCCACCATCCCTCTCTCTTCTCCTCCAGTATCCCTTCCAAATCATTCTCCTTTCCTGGCTCTCCTCTTTCTTTTTCTATCCTGTCTTCTCCAGTTCTTACGTCATCCAATACATCATTGATTTTACGAACAGCAGAACGCTCACGAATAATTAAATTCTTTTCTTCTCCAGTGATATCCGGGGTGATTCTTCGGCTCGTTTTATTGCCCCCTCAAGTTGCACATAAATTCCAAAACGAATGAACTTATTAGAGCGTCCCGATCTCTTACAAAGTTCCCCATGTTTGTTATCAAGCCTGGCTTAAAGTTAAGATTTCCGAGCTCCTTCTATTGCCTGAACAAAAGATCTAATTTTGTCACCGTTTTCCAACAATGATCCTGAGCATTGCAATTAGAAATAAATGAAAAGGCGATGAGGCTATATTTCGTTCAGGTTGAAATATCCATAGAAAAGTCAACAATTTTTAAATATTTGTTTTAAATAACGGATAGTTTTACTTACTTTTATTTTTTTCTAGTCTCTGTTACCTTGTGATGTGCTATTGATGGTGGCCACAATGAACACTCGTAAGAGAGGAAATAAAAGTTGATTGTGAGTTCAGTACGTGTGACTCAGTTTGAGTTTTCTACGTCTTTTCCTAATTAAAATATTGTGTAATGAACTATGTGCATTCTTTATAATCACATTGTACTGTTTTAAGGCTATTCTTGGTTAACTTGAGATTTTTCCACAAGATAACTGGAACAACCTTTTGTGATGTCTTCATTTGCCAGTTTGTTGATTTTTTGTGAGTTTTTAAAAAATCGAAGATTGGTTTTAACAGGTTCACTACCGTTAGAAACAACAAAATAATAGATTTTCCCTTCTTCGTTTGCTATTAACGCAGTGTATTTATTTCACAATGCAAAGACCAACCGTGTATAGCTTCAGATTTAATACATTGAGGTATAGTTTTCGAGTCAGCAATGCCACTGAAAGTCTGGAGTTTGGGGTCACAAAAACGATATGAACAGAAAATAATGTCTTTATACCTGTGACCTTTACAGAAATCCTTCTTTTTTCATCTCTGCCTACTAGATCTACCTTTTCCTCTAATTTTCTTAGTTGAATTATCCATAATAAGCAGATGTTGAGGAATTGAGAAAAATAATTAAAAATTTAATGAATTGATATAACTTTGAAAAAATACTAGCAGTCGATCGTTAGAGAAAGTCCAGTATGTTTGTTTTTGTCTATTTGCTTTGTTTTCGTTTGTTGTTTCTTAAAAATTTATTTCACTTTAAAAAAAATTGCCTGTTGTTCTTCCTTTACGATGGCAACGGTAATGGGTTTTTTTTTTTGTAACAATAGAAATGAAGCGAGCGGATTTTCACGCCCCTTTCTTCAGAGTAAGGCTATTAAACAGACTGACTTGAGACATTTTGAGGCCCCTATTCCTACAGAAATGTGGTTTCTTAGGAGACTGCTAAGAGTATCAAGGAAGGAAAAGAAATCAAATGAGGTAGTGCTTGATAAGCCCACGTGGGACGCTCACTGTTAAAAACAATAAGGAAACGACACATGCAGTTTTGGGGACACCTGAATAGACATAAGGGTCTTGAACATCTAGCTCTCACTGTCAAAATTGAGGGCAAGCGAGGCAGGGGTAGGCCCAGAACAACATACTTAGGGAACCTAAACAAATGGGTAACAGGAAAAGATCAGGGAAATGTAGCCTTTTTGAGAGCATCCGAGCAAAGGAATGAATGGAAAACCATGATCGCCGATGTCTGTCGCAGATCTGGCACTGGATGATGATGATGATGATTCCTACTTCGTAAAAGCTTCCGCGAGAATAATCATAAATAATCCACGACAAAGGGTGTTAATATACTCCCAAACTGTAACATGTAGAGCTTATATACTTTCTCCATATGTGATGCAGCGTGGTGGAATCAGGCTCTCGTATTTTTTTTTTGGCATTTAGAGTTATTGGTATCATCTTAAAGCTTGTTTATTAGTCTTAATTTGGATGAAAAAAATATTCATTTACCTTGAAAGCAAGTCCAAATATTTGCGAAAGAAGGACGTGGGGGTCACTTGCTTTCAGAGGTAAAATTAGTGAAAAAATGGCCGCCAAAGATGAGTTATTACCTTAGCTTAAGAGTCCGTGGTAACTGAAAATTTATATTCCTTGTGCTTTTAATCAACGTTTTTCAGAAATATCCAGACAGAAATAAGCTCTTTAATGGGCATGAAAGGTGTTGAATACCCCCCCCCCCCCAAAAAAAAAAAAAAAATTAATTAAAAACAAAAATGGATAACAATTCACAAACCAGCGAAAAATGCAAGTTTCTTCACTTAGATTATTTTGACGAGAGCCTGATTCCATCACGTAGTCTCACATATCAAGTTTGTGACAAGTTTATCAACTTAATAATGCAAACCGGCGTCTGTGGTGAGGTGGTTCGGAGCTCCGCTATTGGATTCTCGCTTCGTGACACGTGTAGGGAGAACAATAATACACTGTCTGTATTTATCAAGTATAAAAGTGTCACGACGCAGTGGAATCAAGCGGTTGTCAATTTTTGGGTATATGGTGTTATTGGTATCATCTTAATAAAAGGTTGTTTATTTGCATTGCTTCTGATGAAAAAAAATATCCTTTTATCTTGGATACAAGTCAAGATATAGGCGTTTGAAGGAGGCTAGGATCCCCTGGTTTCAGAGGTAAAATTAGCGAGAAAATGGCCTCCAAAGTTGAGACATTTCTTTAGCTCGAGAGTCCGTGGAAACTGAAAATTTACATCTTTTATGCCTTTCATCAACATTTTTCAGAAAAATCCACACTGGAATGAGTTTTTTAATAGGCATGAAAGGTGTTGAGCCAAAAAACAAAAATTTGATTGAAATTTGATCACAAACCTGCGGAAAAATGCAAGTTTCTTCACTTTGGTTATTTTGACGAGAGCCTGATTCCACCACGCTGTCTCACATATGTTGTTCTTTAAAGAGCACGAAAGGGGTTCAACCGAAAAAAACCAAACAAATTCTGTGGAAATTTCCAAACCTGCGGAAAATGACAGTTTCTTAACTTTCATTATTTTGACGAGCGCCTGATTTCACCACATGACTCATAAAAAGGATATAGAAGTAGAAATAGGCCTAAGAAAATGGCGATGCATGGGAAGCACCCTCACAAAGCGCAGCAGAAACATCGCAAGACAGTCACTGTAGTGGAACCTACAGGGAACACGATTGAGGGGTAGGCCACGGGAAACACGGAGGAGTTGTGTGGAAAGGGATATGAGAGAGATGAACATCACTTGGAACGAGCTTGGAAGGTCGGCTCAGGACAGAGATAAATGGAATGAGCTTGTATGTGGCCTATACCCTGCCAGGGGTAAAAGGCATTGATGATGATGATGATTTATCGAGTCTTTCTGTAGGGACGTTGCATCCCGCTCAGCCCAGGGTGCCCTGAAAGGTAGGGTCAAGGCGCGTCTCATAATTTACTTAAATTGTCTCGAAGGAGGCGTAAAACACTTACATTGGTAAAGTTAAAGGAAAAAAGAGAGTAAATAGCGGGAGGTTCGAGGGCGCCACTGGTAGGTCCTGTACTTCTTTACTCTTTTGTTTCCGTCTGTTTGTCATACCCTCTCCGGGTTCGAATCCGGGTAGTGACCGAAACATTTTCTCCTCTAAATTTGTCTCCTTTGACCTCCTGTTCTCCTCTCTAGCAATGTTCTGTCGTCTGCTTTTATCTCCTCTTTCTGCCCCCACTCCCTCATCTCCTTTGCCCCCCTCCTCTGGGCCCCTGATTCTTTCTACAGCCTTTCTACTGGTACTTCTTGGCTTCTTCTTACTGCTGTCTTTCTGCAGCACCCCTGATCTTCTGGTAGGAAAGATCTACACCTAGCCTTCTCGGACAAGGGCGAAAAATCTCGGAGGGCCCGTGTGCAAGTTGCGCACGTTAAAGATCATTGGTGGTCTAAAATCGATAAAAGTAGGCTTTTGTCGCCACCCGGGCAAAATTCAAAATTTCCTACTAACAGAAAAAGTTTAATGTGGATCGCGCGCTCATATGACCTTATGCAGTTGCGAGCGCCGTAAAACACTTACAAAAACAAACAACAATACCCTTTCCCAGCACTAAGTGATCATTATTGAGTCATTGTGCTTTTCTTTACTCGAGCAAAAAAAATAAAGAATAAATTGATGCAGCGTTTCCCAAAGAAGTGGACACGAGTTTACAATATTAACTTGGTAGCAGCTGTCATAACCAGGCTGCGCAATAAAAGCTAATTTTTATTTATTTTCCAAAAATCTTATGTGGAGGAAGAGCTGCCATGTGTGCTGCCATATCTCGATGATTCAGAAATTTTAACAAACTTCGGACCCTCCCCCTGTCCAAAAGCAAACCCCCCAAATCCCCCCAACAAAGCCAACCCCCCCCCCCCCTCCTGAAAAAGCATGCTAAAAATACCCCGACAGCAAGAGGTGCACAAACAATAGCAAGAAAAGCAAAAAACAAGAGCAACAACAATAACAAACAAACAAAGAACTTACCCCCCCCCCCCTGGGGCAGTGCCACTGACTGTAGTGTCTTTAGGCCATTCTCAAAGGGGGGACATTTCTCATTCAAGCACAGTAGAATTTTAAATGAGCTGATTCATGTCACGCTCATAACTGTGCCTGATCTACAACAGGGACCTGCTACTTTTTCTATCTTAATCCTTACTATTGTCATTTTCCTCTACTTCTTTTGTATGTTTGTCACTCTCTTGTGACCCGCTATTTCCGGGGTGCCGTGATAGTCGAAGCAGACCTTGTGCTGTTGAAGCTAGAGAGTCTGATACCCTGTAAAGGCTTCTCTGTTGACACCCACCCCTTGGCGCTCATATGACGTAATGCAGTTGCGAGCATTGTATAACCTTCTGCTATAACCCCCCACCCCCCAACCCAAAAAAACAACAACAACAAAACAAAAACAAAAAACAAACAAACAAACAAACAAACAAAACACAAAAAACCCACAAAAAACCCCCCAAAGAACTTACATGTGCCGCTGAGGATGAACATTGACCGGTGTATGAAGTCACAAGGATGTCTCGCCTCGTTTCCCGCCTCACTCAGACTGGCTACCACTGAGTAGTGGGTGTCACCCTCGTCAAGCTCCGCCCACACCACTGTGCTCTCGTACAGGGGCTTGTCACAAGGGGGTGGGGTCAG